CATATAACTATTATAATTTTTGTATTATGTGTACTACAGATGATATAGATTAGGAAGGTATTATGCTCTTTGACCTGACTACTGGTATTGTTTCAAGTCTACAAAGTAAAATGATTTCTTTTGGTTTTATGAAATGAAAGCAGAATACAAATTTTATTATTATGACGGCAAAGACCATTTTAAACTGCATTGTACAGTGAGGTAGGGGAAGTGTGGTAAACTGAAATTTTAATTAAATTGTCCCCTGTAATTCCTCAGACTTCCTGCTATATCTTGATCATCACTATTGCAAATATTGCAAATTTGGCCAGTACCGCCACTACAATCACTATCCAAAGGGACTGGATTGTTGTCGTTGCAGGAGAAGACAGAAGCAAATTAGCAGGTGATCTGTTTTTCTTCTTTCGTCTAGTATATTAGGATTCACTTCAAATCAGTGCTAATAAATGAGGCTCAAGCCTTTTTTTTTTTCTGGGTATTTTTTTTAAGAAGACTAAATTGAAAGCATAGTCTTTTTCTTACCACATTATCAATCTCAGTGCAGAGTAATCTCACTGTTAGGGAGTGAATTCATAGGATAATGTACTTCTTTTTTATTCTATGGAAACCTGGCAAATGGAAGAACATTTCTTTTGAGCTCTTTCTTTTAAATTCTGTTCATGGTTTCTAAATATTTACTTAACACTTGGGACAGTGAGTGTCTGACACAGGATTTTATCAGTCATACTGTGGATATTATTACCAGTACTTAGTGGTCATGCTATAGATATTATTCTTCTCCAAACCAAATAGAAACAACTTAATTCTAGGAGAGACTCTAGAAGTCAATTCCTTAAACTTTGAAATTATAATCTATAACTTTTACTACATTACATATGATGTAATATAATTGCTCTTACAAATACTAAAGAGTGAGAGGGCAGAATATGGTTTTAAAGAAGCTTACAATCTTGGTTGTCCATTGGAAACATACAAGAGGCCCAAAAAAGACTGAAGAATGCTTATAAGGCAACATGTCCTATTGCATCAATGATATTTGGGCTCAGAATACCCTACTCACTCAGTATTCCCTGCCCTCCCTTACACAGACACAAACTGGATTGATAATTACATGGGCTAAAGGAGGAAGGGTACACCTATCTACACATTAGAGAAGCTGAATCAGCTCTGCTGGTCATTGAGATAATGGGTATCACAAACACATTGCCCAACCATCCTGACAGACAAGAAAACCATTCTTGATGACTTTAATGGCTTATCCCATGACACAGGAAGCAAGATTAGGTGCTGGGGTCAGCAAGCAACTTTGACTGGACCGTGTGGTTGAAAAAAAAAGACAGAAAGTCGGTAGTTAGAGAAAGAGAACAAAATCTGTGGAAGGTCTGAAAGAAAAGAATTTGCTGAAGTCATCACTTTGTGGTAGCAGAATTATAATTGAGACAGAAATATCACAGGGATTTGAGAGGATGGTATATGCATATGGTAAATTTAGCACTTAGGAATCTACTGCAGGAAATTCTCTCTGGTGCTCAATAGTGATTCTTACTGATTTTTCTTCCTGGATCATTTACTAATAGGAAATAATTCCCTATTTCTTTTCTATCACATTGAACTATAAGATAAGGCTTTGTCCTTTTTTTGTGTTTAGTTCCTTTCTTTTCTAAAGGTACTATTTTGAGTAGGTAGTACGTGTCCATGTTTAAAATTCAAAGGGTACAAAAGAATATGTTTTGAAAATAGATTACATATTATATCTGTTGGCATATATTTTGGGGAAAGTTGGATTTTAAAATTATTTTTTCTTATATGAATTTCTTAACTCATTTTGACTCTGAAGTCTGCACAGTCTGTAAAAAGAAGTCTTTAATTTGGTCTAAATACATACTTAAATAAATAATAAAACAAAGATGCATATAACTTTGTGGGATCTTTCTGACTATAAAGTGATGTCCCAGAACAACAGAAATATGACTGGCCATTTCTGTCTGTCTTTTCTTATATTTGGAATTATTGCAAAGCAGAAGAATCTAGGCCAACCAGTCTATTTACTAACTTTCTGAAGTTTCTCAAGTTTAAGAAAGGAAGTAAGCTGCCTGCTGAACTCTTGTCCTCTGTGAGTTAGCTTTTAGTACATGGTGCTCTTTCACATCAGCCAGCAGCCTCATGAAGGAAAATATTCATACTGTCTCTCCTCAAGTTTTGATGTCAGCATTGTTAAAAAATTAAAAACCCTGCTTCCAAACAGGATATAGAAAATTCTTTAGTTCTGAGGGTCAATAAAGGGCTAACCATGGATTTTTGGTTCCATTTTTTCAATAAGGCAGACTTACTGAACAGACAAAAAGGAGGCGGCTAAAGGAAAAATAGAAGAGGGAAGTGAAAAAGTACACATTGAGGGGACTCTGGCTGCTGCCTTGGGCATCTCCAAGGCTGGGTCACTATACGCTGATGCACCTACTACAGTCAAGAGTGGTTTTTATTTATGTAAGCTGATTTTTGAGGTTGTTGCCAAAAATTGTTAGAAACCCTAGCAAGAGACTGGACAGGGTTGGCTGCCCGTGTGTGTGTGTGTGTGTGTGTGTGTGTGTGTGTGTGTGTGTGTTTCTGAGTAGATTTTAAAGCTGGCTCAGTGGCATCAGGCCAAAATATAAACAGCTGTTACCATGTAATTTAGACAGCTTAGAGAAAAAAACAGTATCTTTACTATTTTTCCACATAAATACTGTTAATCTGTTCATCAGTTTGTCCAGAGACTTGATTTAGTGTTTTATTAAAGCATTCCCTTGAGCCATGACCCTAAGCCTGTCAAGTCTGTTTGAAGCTCACTTCCTTTTCCGTACTTTTTATTCCATCTGTTGTTTTATTTCCTTTCCTATTTCCTTTGTTAATCACTCATTATTTATAGCTTCTGAGGTTTTTTTTGTCCACCATTCTAAAGAAATATCTGTTGGTCAGTTTGATCAGGTATGGCAGATGAATTTCTTGTTTGAACTCTATTGACTAAAAATTGATTTCACATTTAAGGTAGACAAACCTGCTGGCTGCTATTTGCTCAGTAAATCTGTTTTTTATTATTATTCTGTGAGATATAATATACCCTTTAAAATAGCAAGTAGTTATTTAATGTCATATTCTGTGTCACAGCTGTGGCTGAAAATAGTTGAATTGGGATTAAATGGGCACACATTTATGTTTGCAAAGAATAAATACAAATTTTTAAAAAGGATATGTTTGCATACTCAGAAGACTGATTCTCCTTTAGCCTGTTACTAGTAAAATGATTAGGCCTTTTTAAAGATTATTATTTAATTCGTTCTTCTTCAGAAAAATAAAAGCTGTTTCTGATACATTATACATAAACATTATTAACTTCCTAAATTTGATATAAAACAGAAATTGGTGGCTTTAAGAAGCTTCATAAGCATATGTAAACAGAGATAGTGAATGTGTAACAAATCATTTTAACTAAATTAATGCTCTGGGGCTTTCAGATCCAAGTGTATATTTTCAGTAATACTTGATTTTTAGAATAAAAACATTGAGTTATTTGTATATGTTAACATATGAATAGGAAACTTCGTGATGATGGCGTCTCCCCTGCCAGGTCTTAGTTGGGGGCAGGGGGAAGCCAGTGAAGCCTCTGTAAGAGGTCACGTGTAAGATCAATGAAAACTGCCTTTGCCTCTCAAGTGAAAGGTTAAATGTGTCAAAGTTCTCCTGTTATATAACCATTATACACTCATAGGACTAGCTGGAAGGTAATTGAGGACCAGGAAAAACTAAAGCAGGAATAAAGGTGATTTTCTGTTAATATACCTATTAGTCACATACTGCTTTTCCTTTAAGGTACCCCACATGATTGATAAGGACTTGTCTCATTACTTTGCACTCTACTCTGTGAGATAGAGAATGAGAAAGTAGGTCATATTCTTGACTTCCTCTGCTTTATTCGTCTTGTTCTCTACTCTGACTCAGCTGTATGTTCCCATGCACGTACCCTAGACCATGTCACCACCACTAAAGCCTCCCTTTCCAGAATCTCATTCTTAGGCAGCAGGTCTTGAACGACCACCTGCTAGATGAGGAGATGCCACCTTCCAGCTCGCTCCTCTGGGATCCGGTCTGCAACAGTCCTCCAGCTGGTCGGCACCCACGCGTCATTCATTACACTTCCTTTTCTTTGTCTCTGTCTCCCTTTCTTACCCAATTAAAATTCCAAGGTCAGTCATTGGAGCACAGGACTGCTTCCTAGCACATACTCTCAGCTCACTTGGCCTCTTCTTCTTTTGACACTCTCCTTTTATAAGACCTTGGTCAAATGCAGCTCTCCACAGTGGAGGAAAACACGCGGCCTTGCTCTCTGTCCTCATTCCCACCGGTCCCAGTGGGCCCGGTGATGTTGCCAGATGATCCATTCTGTTTTCTCTGGCCCCTTCCTTCTCCCACTTCCCTAAAGGACTATTTCTCACTTGCTCTTTTCTCCTCAGACATTAATTACCTTCTCTCCCACCCTCACTTTCAGTGACTACACTGTACTTTGTTATGTTACTGAGAACATGGAAGAAATGAGAACTGCCATTTGCTCTCACCATCACAGTGCTCTTGTTGCTTTATTATCTTTTCTCATGGAAATGTAAACTCCATGGGACAGAAAAAGATATTTTTCATTTTCTTTTTAGTACCAGAATGGTGCCTAGCTCATAACAGACATTTAATAAATGTTTGTTGAAAAAAGAATGAATGTAGAGGCACTATTGTTTTCATTTTAAAAGCTGATGTTAAACTAAATTATGTAATTTCAAAGGAATCACAATATTTGTGGCAAATTTAATGTGACTTGGTCCAAACAACAAATGATATCCTAACAAAATGGTTTGTTCTGAGAGTGCTTTTAGAACTTTATATTTTAGGAATCTATGCTCTTTGTTTATGAGTTTGTGTTATGTAAGTGGACAGTCTCTCTTTGCACACTTATCTGCCCCTTTCACCTACCTCTATAGATATGAATGCTACTATACGAAGGATTGACCAGCTAACCAACATCTTAGCCCCCATGGCTGTCGGCCAGATCATGACATTTGGTTCTGCAGTAATTGGCTGTGGTTTCATTTCGGGATGGAATTTGATGTCCATGTGTGTAGAGTACTTTCTGCTCTGGAAGGTCTATCAGAAAACACCTGCTCTTGCTGTGAAAGCTGCTCTTAAAGTAGAGGAAGCTGAATTGAAACAGCTGAATTTACACAAAGGTAAACTCAACACAATGATCAATCCTTTTATTCTGATATAAAGACCTTATATGTTGGTGAAGACCAAAACTATTTAGAATTTTTATCAGGTTTATTAGCAAGGAAGGCCTGCATGAGATTAAATGTATCACTTTGGTGGTTGAGTCAAAACCCAGGCTTGTGAGGGTCTGAGGAACAACTTTGGATTTAATCTCAAGGGATACGAATGGGACCCCTGGCTGTTTCCCTTAATATGAGCAGTAGAACACACAGGGGCAGTTGCTTAAGGATGGCTGAATGAGTTGAGCCGTAGGAATGGGAAGAACAGTAGGGAAAAAGAGAATTCCTAGGATTCTATAAAGAGGGGAGTTACATGGCCATTTATAGGACAATGGAATGGAGTGAAGACGTGAAGGTGGGCATTTCTCAAGAAGAGAAGAGTAAGTTGGGCTTCCAGGTAAATGAAATCTTAACAGGACTCCAAAGAATAAGATGCCGTGTTTACCCTGACAATTGTTACATTTTGATCTTATAGGTTTGCCTGCTATTTACTTTGGTGGGAGTATAGTTTCTAAGGTGGGGGTGGTAATCAATAATATTTTGTTTGTTTAACATAAATGCTACTTGGAGATTGTTCCCTGGCTGGAATTCTTAGATATGTTAAAGAAAGTGTGTATCATAAGTAGCCAAGGATACCCATAGGGGAGGGAAGGAGGAAAAAAAATACTGAGTAAGATAATTGGCTTTTTTCCCAGTGCCCTTTCCCCCTAATAATGATGTCGTTTGTTTACAGAAACTGAGCCAAAATCCCTGGAGGGAACTCATTTAATGGGTGAGAAAGACACTAACATCGCTGAGCTGGAACATGAGCAGGAGCCAAGCTGCGCCTCCCAGATGGCCGAGCCCTTCCGCACCTTTCGAGATGGATGGGTCTCCTATTACAACCAGTCAGTGTTTCTGGCAGGCATGGGTCTTGCTTTCCTCTATATGACAGTTCTGGGCTTTGACTGCATCACCACCGGGTACGCCTACACTCAGGGGCTGAGCGGGTCTGTCCTCAGTATTTTGATGGGAGCATCAGCCATAACTGGAATAATGGGAACTGTGGCTTTTACTTGGCTGCGTAAAAAATGTGGCTTGGTTCGCACTGGTGTGATCTCAGGATTTGCCCAGCTTTCCTGTTTGATCCTGTGTGTGATCTCCGTGTTCATGCCTGGAAGCCCTTTGGACTTGTCCATTTCTCCTTTTGAAGATATCTATTCTAGGTTCATTCAAGCAGAGCCACTGTCTACAATTACACCTACAAACGTCCCTGACATCGTCTCTGCAACTGAAATGCACAGGTCAAATGGGTCTACTTCCGCTAACATTGTTCCAGAGATGAGCCCCAAATCTGTGCCCATAATCTCTGTCAGTCTGCTGTTCGCAGGCGTCATTGCTGCTAGAATCGGTAAGGCATCTCTCGATGTATTGATGAACTAAAGTGTCCTTGAATGTTAATTTAAGCAAAATCCACTATCTTTGTATAATCCAGTATAATTCAGTCTTTATGGAATTTTTACAGTATAGCTTAAAAAATTGCATTTATGTGTGTATGTATGTACATATACTTTCTTAAAACATGGTTAGGGCTTGAAATTTTTTTCTAAATATCTTAAGTGTTACTCTTTTATGTAATTTAATTTTTTTAAAAGCTGTAATGATTATAATGTTATTTAGTAATTTATAGAGTCTTTATAGCTCTACTGAAAGGACTATAATTTAGAGGCTATTTCTCTAGGACAAGGTAACAAAATGTTTTTGGTTAAAAAACGAAAGACATGGTAGTTAGAAGAAAAACATTCTTCAGAGTTTCTCTTTAGCTAATGTGTATTTTTTGTCCACTTTGCCAAACAAATGGATATTATAGCTCTTCAAGGAAACACAATGTAAAAACTTCATACAAAGCAAACCTTAAGTAATCATTAATAGAGTTCTGATGAAATATCTCTGCCTGAATTCATTCTTGAAATGAACCCGTATTTATCTTGTGATACAAAGCAGTTCATTAATTTGTCAAAGACATTAATATCCAAGCAAGACAGTTTTATTGTAGGGGCTTTGGAACCCAAGCAGTAAATGTAATGATGGTTTAAAGTTTCCTTACACTCCAACCATAACGATATATTGGGTCTGCTCATATTAAGCTTTAAAAATATTAGTACTTATAATAGGATTTAGTGTGTCTCTGATTTCTGTCCTGCTTTTACAATATGAATAATCATAGAAAAACAGAATTACAAAGTTTGTAGACTAGACTTATTTTTGTCTGTAAAAGTATTTCTTGGAACCACTAACAACCCAGTGTTTATTAATGAAAAATAATTATCTAAGGTAAGGCTATGGTGTATATATATATATATATATAAAATGACTTTAATAGCATGAAATTGTATGTCTTGCACATGTCAACAGATTTTTAAACTGTAAATCTAAAATGTAAAGCTGTAAATTAAAATTCAGTCTTAAATATTTTTTTGTTATAGGTCTTTGGTCCTTTGATTTAACTGTGACACAATTGCTGCAAGAGAATGTCATTGAATCTGAAAGAGGCATTATAAATGGTGTACAGAACTCCATGAACTACCTTCTTGACCTTCTGCATTTTATCATGGTCATCCTGGCCCCGAATCCTGAAGCTTTTGGCCTACTTGTATTGATTTCAGTCTCCTTTGTGGCAATGGGTCATATCATGTATTTCCGATATGCCCAGAAAACTTTGGGCAACCAGCTTTTTGTCTGTGGTGGTAATGAAAAAGAAGTTACGAATGAAAATCAAACTAATACATCTGTTGTGTAAGACACTTTAACTGTTGCTGTCCCTGTTACTAGATTATATAGAGTGCACGTGCTTATTCTGTACCTCAGAATTCCAATAAACAGCTGGGTGTTTCTCTCTAGTTTTACCACAGCTATACCTTGAGGGCTAAAAGCTATTTAGGAAACCTAAGTCAGCAGAAGTAATTTCCCTTACATGGAAGGATAGGAAAAGAAAAACTCAGTTTAAATATGGAGACTAAAATGGTAATTCTAATTTTCCCTATTTTATCATGAGTAGGTAAAATTTTACATGGAAGAATGGTTAGTCATGGGAATTAAGTTGTTAATTGGCAGATATTTATTATCTGTATGTAAATTCAGGTATGACATTTTTCCCTAAAACTTATTCTTATTCAAGCCCAGCTAATTTACTTCTTTTTTTGGTTTCTTACTCTTGGTTTTATTATAAAAACAAATAAATTCTGCTCCAAGGATGAAGATTAAAGTTTGATAACCAATATTATCCTTATTGATCCTATTCATCTTAAGGGATTTACATGTATGTACAAAAATGAAATGCTTAACTGGAATTCTCTAATATAGGGCTTATGGTTTAACTTTAGAGAGCACCTTTGTATTTTTATTATTAGATGGCACAAAATCATGTATTAAGCATATGTAGCACTTCATAAAATAGCTATCACGTAAGCTGCACGTAGAAGCAAAGCTGTAGATTCATAGGACAGTGAATGCATAAGGACTTCAAATATGCCAATAGTTTGGCCATAGAAACTAGAAGCTAAAAGTCACACACAAGGGCAAGATCTGAGCTTAACTCATGCCACTGTCGTTAACGATCTCTGTCTTGGAATATGAGGGATTCATCTTTCAGCCTGGTAAGTTAAACATAGAAAGCAAGCCCGTATTTGGAAAGGTTTTATTTTATAAATCATTTGATTTACTTTAAACATGCTCCAGTAGAGCATTTTACTTCTACTGTTTTGTACCCAGGAGTTATTTTTACATAATTGTAGAGCAAGACTGTTTGCTCATAAATGTATCCCTTTCAAATGTCTCTGAGAAGAATGGAGAGGGGAAAAAACACTTTTGTATATGTTTTTAAAAACTGTTTTACAAGTCATTTTGCCACATGCCAGTACCAACATGGTACTTTGCCTTAACTGTTTATGCACTTTTATGGAGACTGCAATACGTCGCTATGAGCACTTTCTTTATCCTTGAGGTTTAATCTTCTTTCTGTAGTATGACAAAATGATTTGCTATGTTGTAAAAATCTTTGTAAAATATTTCTATATAAAAACATTTTTAAAATCTTGATTTCTTTTTGCTGAATTGTGTTCCCCATTTATTTAATAATTGCTTTTGTTACAGAATATCTGTTTTTTGGATAATGTATTTTTTTCTCTTTAATAGTAGTAATTTTTAGTGTTATCTCCATGCATATGTATAGTTTATGGTGGCTTGGATAAATGTGTGGTTAACATGAGGCTCAGTACCTCATCCTTTGACTTTGAAGAAGTCACATCAAACTGAGTTCAGGTTTCTCTTCAAATTGGAGATACTATAAAACCCTACCTACCTCACAACTTTCTTGATCAAGTCAAATTAATTAACTCTTGTGGAGGCACTTTGTGGAGTATTAGATGAAGTGGTATTATTACTGGAAATTGGACCTAATTAATGATAGAGAGTTAAAGATATACTCTGCTAATAGTCCAGAGAGAGTGGAGCCACATTCTGTATATGGCAAACATTTACTGAAGACTTCATCTGTACCCCAACTGATGGGCCCTTGAATGCAGATTTAACTAAGACATGGTTAATCAGAGGCCCTTTTTCTTTCCCCTAAAGGTGGGAGCTTAAGAATTTTTGGCATCATCCCCCCAGCTACTGATCTGCTCTTGATGTTTGAACAGGCAGTAGATGCCTCTGTTCAGTTTGGGCTGCTGTCTTAACCAGGTCATTGGCTCCCTCCCACAGGGGTGGGCTGGGTTTAGAGTTTTGCTCTGAGTGTTTGTAGCTGTAATTGAAGGTCTGTGACCTTGTGAAATGAATAGACCCATCTTAGCAAAGGAGAGTCTCAGCGCTTGCTAATATGGGCATTTTGCCAAATTGTGGGCCTAGCGAGAGAGGCCTGTGTAGGAGGAAGGAGCACCTGGAGCTGGAGGGCTAACAGGAATTTTTACAGCTGCCTCCCTTATCTTTGCAGAGTGCCATTCAGAGCACTGCAGAGAAGGGAAGTGGAGAAGAATCCTTGCTGGGCTGGCAGCCTTTGCTGTTTACTGCCCAGGGCATGGAAGTAGGGCATGGAGCTGGAGGGCTAACAGGAATTTTTACAGCTGCCTCCCTTATCTTTGCAGAGTGCCATTCAGAGCACTGCAGAGAAGGGAAGTGGAGAAGAATCCTTGCTGGGCTGGCAGCCTTTGCTGTTTACTGCCCAGGGCATGGAAGTAGGGCAGGGGTAGGGGACGGGGATGTGGGCCTGTGGGTGTGTTTCTAAATAGGGACAAACCTCAATACTTACAGGGTAATTAGGTAATACAAATGAATGAAGTGTAGTAGATAGAGAAAAATAGTCTTTCCTTTAACTTGTAATAGTATTTCATGAAAGTATCAGTTTGTTCCCACTTAAAAACAAATTATTTTTTTTTCATGCTTTACTCGATTCCATGCAAGCTTCTTATTGTGGTTAGTAAATTGGCTCAACACAGACATCCTTTGTGTATTAAACAGAGGAAAACCGTTTTCATTTCCATAAAGAAATATGCCTATGCCCATTTTGTTTTCTTGAAACACCTGGTTTGCTCGATAGGCCTTTCACTGCCACCACTCCTCTCCCACCCCTCTCAAAAAAGGAAAGGAGTGGGTATAAGAAATTTTTCCCTGTGTACCATCAGACAAAAAGCAATGCAAGAGGAGTGCAAAGCAAAGCATGGCAGCAAGGCATGCAAGTGCTGGTGGGAGGTGACGGTGTGGTAGGGCTGTGGAGAGAGAGCCGGGAGAGCTGGCGGGCACTCACAGGCTAACGGGGCAGCTGGAAGCACTCCCACTCCGCTGCCACTCAGGAATGTGGGCCCTGTGCTATCACGGCCTTTGATCTTTCAAGAGAAGCTGGGAATCTGGAGTTCTGCATAAAATCTCCAAATTCTTAAATACTGGCAACTAATGTGAAAATGATTGTTTTTCTAGCCAAACAAAATGTACTTCTTGGCTACCTATGAGCCACCATGGGCTGCCATTTTTTGAACTTTTCTCTAAGAGGATGGTTTGCAAGTGAGAAAAAGGCATTTGAATAAAGCATAGGAAGAGAGGAGGCATATATATAAAAATTGCCTATATACACAAATACATGTTGTGAAAAATATTAAGCTTGTAGGTGTCTTTTATCGGATATCATTTAAGGTCAGTCCCTTATGCATTTGGTACCTGCCATCTCAACGTTGGTGAGAATTCTGCCCTATTGTTCCTTATTTTATGTGTTGCTTGCACTTTTGGGTTAAAGGATAATGATGATTTAAAAAAAAAACAAATTTAAGTTTGTCTGATTTATAAAAGTAGTGTGCTTATGTTTTGAAAAAGGAAAAGCAGACACAGAATTTTAGATTATTATGTCCCCTCTCCCCACCCTACTCCCAGAATCCTAAGAAGTACCCATTATGAACATTTTAGGGTGTCCCCTTATAGAAAAATTCTTTTTAATGAAGTAACTTATTTTTAATATTACAGCTTTTTATATCATCAGTTTGTTTGTTCACCAAGATTATATCAATATTTGTCTCTATCTGTTAAGTGATGAATGTTTACCTTCTCCCTAAAATTCTGAAGGTTAAGGTCATGTTTGCATTAAACCTGTTAATACAGTACTTAAAAATTTTTTAACATAAAACAGGGTAATTAAAAACTTTAAAAACATAGAAGTAGGTATACAAACTACGTAGCTCGTATATTTACTATGACTGAGAAATAAATTTAGTCTGAGAGTCCTTTCAACCAAAACCACTTTTACCTTTCCCCCACAATTGACAGTTACTTGAATCTCTTTATTCAGTTAAACCTTGCTTCTTCTTTTATAAAGTCTCCTTTCTTCTCTTGAACTATATTTCAGAATAATCTTTGCTACCAGAACATTTTTGCTTTACAAGGCAGCAATTCAAGAATAGAGTTGAAATGGTAAAAGAACCTTGTGCTGACACACAAGCATGTATCACAAACAAGTCTGAACTGGCTACGTTTAGTCACACTTAAGAAGTTAAATGACTTTTTTCCTTATATGGATACTTGTTTACATTTCCCAAGTCCGAATGGGAGCAAGTATTTTATCTGAGGAATGGACAAATGAGAGATCAAAGTACAAGTGCTTTTTTCCATGTTCTTTACCCTGGCCTTTAGGTGAGTTAGAATGTATTTTTCTATTTGAACATTTTCCTTATTGTATTTTACTGGGAGAAAAGTGAACTACAAAGTTCCTTAAATTATATTCAAAATTATTTTACAGAGTCGTTATCCTTAATTCATGTATGTGGTTGTAGGAATGATAACACAAAAGTTAATCTAATTAAAGTGAAGATGTAAGAGGATAAGTATGTTTTATGGTGACTGAAACACTCCAGGAAAAATATTTTGAAGAACTAATTTACAAAGACCTTACTTAGAACAAATGATCCCTAATAAGCAAAGCATAGTTTTTTTTTATTATTAAAGTAGCATTGATATACAATCTTATGAAAGTTTCATATGAACAACATTGTGGTTTCAACATTCACCCATGCTATCAAGTACCACCTCCACCCCACCCATTGCAGTCACGGTCTGTTGGCGTAGTAAGATGTTATAGAGTCACTACTTATCTTCTCAGTGCTGTACTGCCTTCCCCATGACCTACCTGCATTGTGATTGCTAAGTATAGTGCCCCTTAATCCCCTTCTCCCTTCCTCCACACCCACCCTCCCCAACCCCTTCCCTTTGGTAACCCCTAGTCCTTCTTGGAGTCTGTGGGTCTGTTGTTGCTTTGTTCTGTCAGTTTTGCTTTGTTGTTACATTCCACAAATGAGGGAAATCATTTGGTACTTGTCTTCTCTGCCTGGCTTATTTCACTGAGCATAATACCCTCTAGCTCCATTCACGTTGTTGCAAATGGTAGGATTTGTTTTCTTTTTATGGTGAATAATATTCCATTGTGTATATGTACCACATCTTCTTTATCCAGTCATCTACTGATGGACACTTAGGTTGCTTCCATATCTTGGCTATGGTAAGTAGTGATAAACATTGAGGTGCATATGGCAAAATAGTCTTATAGTATGTCATACCTAAAGTAATATTTGAGCTTAACATTCATATTCTAGAAAGAATGGATGTCCAATGATATATTTACTTTTTATTTAGTACTATGAATTGACCAAAAATGCATATCTTATCTATTAATTTTAAGGTATTTAAGTAACAGTGTAAAAGAACTAACATTTAAACATCCATTATTTGTCATCAGTTTATTCAGAATCTTTACCGTTACTCAGTGAAGAAGATATTCTTATCTGTGTTTTATTGATGAGGAAACCAAGTCTTAGAATGAGTGTCATGTGCTTACACAGCTAGAAAATGGCAGAAGAATACAAAATAATTTCTTTCTATCTCCTAAGAGCTGTCTTCTTTTCTTTATACCACACAACCCTAGCGTGAGCTTTACTAATGGCAAGTATCAGAAAATCCTTAATATCCTTTAAGGGGTCTATTTGTTTATGCCAACATATTTTAACTTACACAGTGAAATGGGTAAACTCTATTAACTGACTCATAGAACATTAGGATTTCTAATTGTGTTTCCAAGGAGCTAGTTTTTCCAATATTCATAGATGCTACCCCAATTTTAAATGTCTTGGTTGGTCCTTGTGTAGCACTTAACAATACTTTGGGGCTTTCCTAACACCTGTATGAAGCAGAATAGGAAATACAAAGTTAGGAGTGGCAGAGATCTGGGTTCAAATTCTGGCCTTGCCAATTACTAGCTTCTGTGCTCTTAGACAAATAGTTTAACTTCCCTGAACTTCTGTTCATTTGTACAATGAGAATATTTATACCTGTCTCATAGGGGATTAGCACTCTTAGCTCAGTAACTGATAAATATCACCCAATAAAGTGTTTCTTAAATTCATATGAAGAAGAATTGAGGATGTTCATTTCAACATACTTTATTGTTACCTGAATTATCCTTATGCAGATGTGTCATGGATGAACTATTCAATTAAATATACCAATTAATTTTACCTGTTCATTTTTTTTCTTTTAATGTGACATAATCACTTTGACAACAGAAGTTA